TACAATGTTTCTCAACAAGTTGAAGCTGTATTAATTCCTCCTGTGAAAGGCTGATTCAGCATGCCGCAGCCATCTGCCCAGAAACCAGCATTGCCACCCAACCATCAGTATGATTGTATGAACCAGGATTGCGTGTGAGAAGGGACCTTTGATTCTTGGCGTGCGGTGAATTGGAGTCGAACAAGTGCAGTCTCCAACCTAATGTATGACAAAGTCGTCTCCAAAACATATGCATGTGGGCGTAACTTCAAGTTTTCTGAATACAGCGGCGGATTTGACTGTACGAGACAGCGACAATGACGTTGATGTATTGTAATCCATTTTTTCAGGTCAGCAAGATCGCCAGTCCATGGACGAAACGAGAGAGCGCCAGAACAGATGTGACCCTCTTTCCAAGGAGAAAAGAAGAACAAAAGTGACGCGAGGTGTAACACGACAGGGAAGCTGAGATTGGGCCATTATGTGAGTTCAGGCCTTAGATCCCAGCGCTGGAATCTTGACACACGCAGGTCTAGATGAACACGAAGGAACACACGTAACAAAGTACTCTCTATTTTTTTCGTGAATAACAAAATACTCTCCTAAACACTCGATCATTGCAAGGTCATATGTGTCGTTGCAGGCTAGCCCTAGCTCTCTCAAGCTCTAGCTCACTCAGCTCTCACCTCCGACTCGATTAAGGAAGAAGAAGACTAGAGGAGGGAGATGGACACAGGGACACAAGAAAATTTTCTTGGCGCACGTACGCCACCGCCGCTCGAACGGCGTCCTTTTCCTTGAGCACGAACTCAATACACCCGGCCATTGATACACAGAGGATCGGCGAGAGTTTATACCCACGCACACACGTACGCATGCCACGCCCACGGCGCACCCACTCGCCCACGCCCCGCGTCCATCGCTATACCTGGCCCGCGCTCCCGTCGCGTCCGCACGCGGACGACGCGCCCACCAACAGCCCTGGATGCGGTCACACCTCCGGCTCCATCACTAGCTGGAAACGAACCACGCGCACGCACGCGCGGTCACACACGCACATGACACATCCAGCCCGCGCCCGAACGCACACTGGCCACTGCCGTGGCTTTATTTGTCTAACAATATGGTGGCATAGACATGAGCTCTGGCTCGACAAATGCAGTAATGGGGTTGATGGACTCGTACCACTGAACACAAACATTGGGAGACGGATTTGGCGGGAGAGGGTACATGTATATTTGTTTTACTCCAATATTTTAGATAGGCTGAAGCTGGATAAACAGATAAGCAAATCTGGAAACATATCACATTCACTTTGACATCTTAAGACAGTAGAGTATATATAGGATTTCTATGCATATCTTTTCTTCGTTAGCTCTTTTTAGGAAATAAATAGATAAACTGTGAGCATGGGATATGTCTTGAGCAAGCCACTCAAGAACTGTTTGTCATGTCTTTCTGAGTCATGTGATCATCCTAATTGCATGTTTGGTTTATATATGATTCCTTGCCAAACAAAAATTGATGGGAAATACTATGTTATATTGAAGTCAACTCACATGAAAAGAATGGCAACAAGTTTGAATGAGTCTTTCGTGGAAGGGAAATTGCACTTGCAAATAGGTTTGTCTTGAATTATCGACAATAACCAACTTATACAAGAGTAACCGAACTTGATATACCCACACCTGTCCGGCATGTTTCATCACTCCAAGAGTACAAGAGTATATCAAGCACTTATATAAGTTGTGTTGAATTATCTACAATAACCAATTATACAAGAGTACAAGTGCATAAGTTGTCCGACGCGTATCTGACCTTGCTGAATGCCCCGCAAGTTTCAAATATTGAACAGTGCCAAGCTCACAAGTTTATTGAAGCTAAAATAAAACTGATAGGTAGAAAGCAGATTCAAAATCCAGCAGATGGTGCAGAGGAGTGCGCGTGCCGGTTATATGAATGGTGCCATGAAGATGGGGCGACCCCAGGGAGAGATCCAATTAGTGGACTTCATTGGCATTTAGTGTGGTGCCATAACACGCTTCCCCAGACCTGGCGGTTGTACGCCATGTTTCTGTTCTCGCCGGCAGCCAAAGTGCAGAAGGTCCCTCATTTGAACAATGAGTGCAGCTTTGACTGCAACATCGTCGCCACATCATCATCTGGTGGCATAGACACGAGCTCCAGCTCGAAAAGGGAGAGGTGGGGCGTATGGACTCGCACCACCGGAGAGCAAAAATTGGAGAGCTTAACATCGATGTGCATCTTTTTCGTGTAGAGCTTATCCACATAGCCCGGCGAAACAGGGATTTACTGACACAAAGAGCGGTGCAATTGTACGTTTTGATCCGTTTCTCATCATCGGAATTAAAAATGAAGTGCTTCAATTAGTGATGTCAACTCATATTACTGATCTTCAAAAAGCTAAAAGGTTCATGGCTCGAACTCATATTAATGCTTAATGTTAAAATTAGCCTGTACACTAGTTCGCCACTGCTAGCTAGGTGAGGTGGTGCCTGCCACTTCCCCTTCCTGCATCAATTAGGATGACACTGATTCCACACATGTAAAAGAGGATCAAATATATTTTTAGACCATTATTGATGACAAACTAATTGATAAGATGATTAACTTTGATTATTTAAAAAGCAATATTAATCTATAACAGAGAAACATGACTCTGATCTAACACTAGCCTATAAAAGCAGAGCGCTAACTGAGGCAGGCTGTAAAAAGAAACATACTCCTTAGTAAGAAACACACGAAGAGTAAATTCATGCTTGAGAAAATGAGGATGCAAACTATCAACTGAAAATGTGGCAAAAGTAATCAAAGGACACAAAATATTACATTATACTACTAAAAAGAATCCTTTGCCCGCTCTTTTGGTTCCTCCCTCGTAAGCAGTCAGCAAGTTATTCAGATATCAGACCGTCTCTGGGGTACATCGAGGAACACACAGACACGCGAAACTGAAGACGAAACTGCTGCTGATCCACCCAAAGGACAAGCAGCAAACCAAATCCAGATCAGATAGATCGTTTTGGCTGGCCTGGGATGTGATTCAGCGATGGTCGACTCAACGCCAAGCAGTCACAGTGCACTGCAGGCCCCGACAATTTTCCACTGAGAGCTGACGGCGGTCCAGAAGCAATCACAGACAACAAAGTTTATCAACAAGTTGAATCTTTATTACATCCTGCTAAAGGATGATTCGTCATGCCACAGCCATCTGCTCAGAGACCCCCAACATTTGTCTCCCCAGTAACTAGCATTGCCCCGGAACAGCAAAGTTTGTCAGCAAGTTGAAGGCCAACCGATCAATGTCTTGTCAACCAAATAATGCCGCTGAAACTAGATAGATGCATAGGCGAAAATGCATTGGAGCTCTCGGGTGCTACGCACCCCTATATTCAAAAATAAGTAATTCAAAATAAGTCAAAAAAACCCGGAAATTTTTATGGAATCAAACATGACCAAGTATTGCACTCGTATAAAAGATTAAGTAGGAAATAACTTTTATTGTATCCGGGGTCAAAGATTTCCCAAAAAATGCAATATTCATGCTATATTGTCATCATAAATTTGTTTTTTTTTTGCCCTAAAGTCAACGAGAATTATTCCTTGACCAAACTTTTTATATGAGTACAATACCTAGTCCTATTTGGTTCAAAAATATATCCATTATTTTTTGACTTTTTTGAATTATTAAATTATTTTTTAATATAGGGGGTGGAGCACCCGAGTGATCCTAATCCGCTTCTGATACATAGGCAGCTCACAAGCGTGAGTAGACATCCCAACTCCTACTCCCTCCGTTCCATAACATAAGACGTTTTTTGACACTAGTGTAGAGTCAAAAAGAAGGGGAGCCTTGGCGCAGTGGTAAAGCTGCTGCCTTGTGACCGTGAGGTCATGGGTTCAAGTCCTGGAAACAGCCTCTTACAGAAATGTAGGGAAAGGCTGCGTACTATAGACCCAAAGTGGTCGGACCCTTCCCTGGACCCCGCGCAAGCGGGAGCTACATGCACCAGGTTGCCCTTTTTTTTAGTGTAGAGTCAAAAAACGTCTTACGTTATGGGACGGAGGGAGTACTAAACTTGGGGAATATCCAAGGACAAATCACTCCTTTGTACAGATAGACAGATGCTAGACAGGACCAAACAGTCCACGCGTGGACCTGAGCTTTTTCTTTCCCCAGCTTGTACTACTTGATATGTACATACAAGTATCGAAACAGGTAAAAAAACACGGTTCAAATAGCACGTGTTGTGTTCTGAACAAATTAAAAAAGCTCAATTCTGTCTTCTCACCTAACTAAACGATGCTCAAACTAGATACTACATAGGACTACTAGCTCACAAATTCTGAAACTGAAATTAATTCCTCTACAGGCAAAAATACAGAGTTTTCAGCACCACCAGAACAGCGCAACTGTCTCTATTGACAAGTTTCTCATTTCTCAACTGCATACAAGTAGGCCATCACATTAAACTAGCGCCGGCCTGACTGACACCTACTGCTGCTGATTAGCAATCTTACATACCAGGAGAAATGCCTCTCTCTCATACTCGAGCATCATTTCGGAGATGCTCGACTCGATGCCAAGCAGTCGCCAGCCCTACACTGCAGGCCCCGACAGTTCTCGACCAAGAGCAACTGCGGCACAGTTCAGTCGTAGAAGCAATCACAGGCCATTCCCCTAGCAGAGCAGAGCAGAGCAACAATCAAGGATAAAGCCACAGTTGAAAAAGTTTCTTGAAAAAGCTAAAGGCCAGCATCTTGTCAGTTCACTAAGCAAAGCAAAAACAGGTAGATATAAAGATAGCTCAGACACACATGTGAATACATTATCCTAACTTGTAGTGAACCGGGGAGATTCGCTTGATTCACACTACAAATACCTCAACAAGGTAGAGGCCAAAGCTCAACAAAGCCGATTGATTACAGTCACGACATAATCTTGTACATTGTTCAAAGCAATCAAAATCCATGCCCTTTCGACGTGGTTTCCGACCTGTTTACTCCTGCATGGTGGATTGCTGGCGCTCCCTGGCTTGTCGAGCGGCCTGCCTCCTGCGCTCACGGACTAGCCTTGGTATCTCCATCCATGTCTTTGGTTTAAGTGCCATCACTGCACATATCGCAAATGGCATCAGAACAAACACGTACTACAAACTAATGTAACATAAAAACTTATACCGTATGGAAGTAAAAATGGAGAACGAACTTGTACAAACATGCTGGCGTGGTAGACTTAATGGAATGGATGACTACATCTGTTGGTTAAATGTGGCAAAGATAGAGGGACGTGCTGCAAGCATACCTTCATGCTGGGCATCTAGTCGTTTGCGTTTGATGCTGCCCAGCTGCTGTCGCAGGCTTCTAGGGAGCTTCTTTATAGCAGGACAGTCTGTAATTTGAAGAAAGTGGAGAGACATGTATACTTGCGGCTCATTCGGCAGGGATGCCAGGGTACTGCATCTTCGAAGACGAAGGAACTCCAGCGATGGGGGGTGCTCTCCCGATAGACTCTCCAGCGATGTCAACCCACTGTTGCCAATAATGTCCAGACTCTTGAGGGGTGCAGGCAGACAGAGAGTCCCACCCAACATGCCAGCACAGTCCCATATTACTAGAGATTCGAGATGGGGAGGAAGTAAATGCTCTCTTGCAGCAGCTGCTTCTGCTGGTGGAGCTGCTGGTGGCTCTGGCAAGATAGGTCTTCTGCTGGTGGCTTCTGGTTTCTGGAGCCCACCCGGCTGGCATGATAGGACTTGAATACTGGTGCAGTCAGAAATAAATATGGCCTTTAAGGATGAAGGCAGATTTAGAACCGCTGGTAAGCTTCCACATCCAACTAAATGTAGATCTTCTAGGCATGGACAAAAGTGATTCATCGGTGAGGATGGCAACTCTGATACAGCTGCAGGCATGATTGCCTCACTGCAAGAAGACCCTTGGAGTAAGTCTTCCATGCCCTGTTGCTTGCCGAATATGGACTCAAGCTTAATGCACTGATCAATATCCATTTTCTTGAGAGATGCCGGGACGTTGAACATCTCTATTAAACTTGGGCAGTTTTCTATGCAAAGACACTCCAGACCTCTCGGGTGCTGACTCCTTTCGGATGCCAATGACTCAAGAGGAGCTCTTGCATATCCAGTCATATTTTCACAGTTTGTAATCACCAATCTCCTCAAGGACACCAAGCTTTCGAACACTTTCTCTGGCCACTGGACGAGCACATCGCATCTATCAATTTCCAAATTTTCAAGGTGTACAAAATAGTCCCATTGCTCTAGTGCACCTTCTCCAAACAATGAGTTGCACCATCTTAGCTTCATAATTGTAAGAGATGATTTCTGGCTCCATTTCTCTTTGTTGTCCACAGGTACAATTGAAGTGCATTCAGCCTCTGATGTTGTATCTGTGTATTCTAGATTCATTGTCAGTTTGGTCAATGAAGACAAGTATCTGTCTACAAAATGGAACATCTCTTGCTTGCCATTTTCAATTTCTAATAAATTGAGCATTGGTGCTTCAGGTAAATCTATTATCTTTGGGCATTCCTCAACTGATAGTTTCTCAAGCTGAGGAAACAATATTTGTTCACCTTCAGTGGTAGCACCCCATCTTTGAAAACTATCCAAGCATTTCATTTTGAGAATCTTTAGGGCAGGAAAGGCTGAATGTACCAATCTATAACCACCTTCATTACATGGTTCTTGAAGCAATGGTGGTTCAGGTAAATCTATAAGCTGTGGGCAGTCCTGAATTGATAGTTCCTCGAGACAAGGAAATCCTATCTGTTCTCCTTGAGTCTCTTCGACGGCGTCCCATCTCTGAAAGCTCTCCAACTCTTTCATTTTAAGTACCTTCAGGGCAGGAAATGCTGAGCGTACCAATGTATAACCACCTTTACCACAAGGTCCTTGCAGCATTGGTGCTTCAGGTAATGCTACCATCTTTCCACAGTTACTAATAAACAACTTCTCAAGCACAGGAAATATTGTTTGTTCTTCCTGCCCCTCATCTATTTCCCACCATCTTTCAAAACCCAACAAATGTTCTAGCATTAGTACCTTCAGTTTTGGAAAAGTGAAGATTGCACTGCATCTGAACAAAATTTGCAGTCTCTCACAATGAAAAAGATGGATCTCAACCATGTTTTGCAACATGCCCATGCACTCTCCTCCATAGGAATATATCTTCAAAACCTGCAGCCCACCATGAGGTTCGAACTTGTCGAGCACCTTGCTGTCACCAACCTTAGTCCATCTTAATGTCAGTTCACTGAGATCCTTCTTATTTCCAAGGTTTGCCACTTTTGCTTTTGCTTTCTCAACATTTTCTACCTGGCATAGCTCTAGCTGACCACCAATGTTTAAACCATGCAGCTCTCCAAGGTCACTGCAATCAGGGCCAGGAACTCCTGCTACAAAAACTGTGAGCGTCTGCAGCTTAGTGAGATTTTCAAGTCCTAGAGGCATGCTCTTCAACTCCGGACATCCATGAGTGTAGAGGTGGCAGAGGGAAGTCATATACTTTATTTCCCTTGGAAGTCGTTCAAGATAATGGCAGTAGGAAAGGTCCAACACTTGCAAGTTATATAGAATACTTATATCCTCAGGAAGTGCTTTCATAGTACTTTCTGAGAGATCAAGGTGCCTCAGGTGATGCAGATACTTTGGTTTGAGTAGAAATGATTCTGTTCTCAGACAGAGCTTCAAGGCATGCAAATTGTTGTATTTTGATAGATGCTGCAACGAGCTTTGAATAGGACTATCACATATCAGTGTTTGAATGGCAAGGTATTTTTTCTCCAAAGCATCATTCAAAATACCTTCTGTTTTGTCAAGTGACAAGAACAAATGCCGAGTAGTATCCGAAAGCCACTCAATTTGACTTGGCTCCTTAATTGCAAAGACACATTCCTTTCCCATAACAGACATTGCAATATCATGCATAAGATCATGGATTTTGCATGTAGTTCTGAAACGATAATGCTTGTCGCCCTTAAATTCCTCTATGTCCAGAAAGAATGACCTTGATGCTAGCTCACTGAAAATATGTTTTCCAATGGTTTCAAGACTATCTTCCTCTTGTTCCGGGATAAAGCCATTTGCGATCCATAGTTGGATAAGCTCCTCCACATTAATCTTGTAGTCCTTGGGAAATATAGCACAAAAAGCAAAACACTGCTTCATGTGTGATGGCAAGTCATTATAGCTGAGCTTTAGTATTGGCAAAATTCCAGTCTCATCGGTACAAATGCTGCTTCTAGATGATAGAGCCTTCCATTCATTCATGCTGCTCTTGGTGCGAAGTACAGAACCCAGTGCAGTGGCAGCTAAAGGAGAGCCACAACATCTCTTCACAATCTCATCAACCATCTTCACTAGATCAACAGGCTTTTCTTTCTCTGAACTAAATGCTCTAGCCTCAATAATTTTCTTGATGAAGTGGTCCTCCAAAGCATTGAGATTGTAAGCTGCCCTATCTGAACCCATAATTTCAGCAACTCGTTTATCACGAGTTGTTATCAACACTGCACTACCCATGCCACCATGCTCAAGACATATCTTTAGCCTTTCCCACTTATTATGGAACTCTTTGTTCCAGATATCATCCAATACAAGAAGATACCTCTGCCCACTGACCAGTTTTTGAAGTCTATCAAGTGGTTGTTTGTCTGTATCATCATTCTTCTTGGGAGACGCTTCAACTATACTCTTAGACAGGGAGTTCACATCAAATATATCAGATACGCAGACCCAAAGCAACAACTGAAAATGCTTCTGAACTTTAGGTTCATTGTATATAAGTTGTGCTAATGTGGTCTTCCCAAGGCCGCCCATTCCAACAATGGGAACAACTGCGAGATTTGCATTGTTAACTTGACCAAGTAGTGTAGCAACAATATTCCTTTTATCCTTGTCTCTTGATCTGCTGGCAATTTCTTGTGGGTCGATGATAACATAATCAGTCTGCCTCCACTGCTTGAACACAGGCGGCTGTGGTCGGTACTTGAACCTAAAGGCATGCATCTCCGCTATGAGCACCTCAATGGCCTGCAGAATCCGGCATAGCTTGCGACCCATTTTGTAACGGAACACAATATGGTTGTAAGTAGGGAAGAGTTTTATCACATCGAAGCAAAGCTTACGGTAGTGCCCTTTCTTCATGGATTCACGGCGGAGTGCTTCGTACTTGAATTCGTCGAAGACTTCATTGGCCACATAGGCCACTGCCTTGAGCTCCTGGAGCCAGGCTTTGGCCCCATCTCTATGCTCCGTCGCCTGCTCCTCGGCATCAGTCATGACGTCGAGGATGGCTGGAAGCTTGCGTTTGAGAATCTTGTGCTGCTCCTCCATTCCCTCCATCACCTTGTACTTGTCCAGGAGGGAGTTGGCCGCCTTGTTCACCAGCATGGACACCAGAGGCCGGATCGCCATGGCGGCCACCACCTCCGCCATTGGAACGTGCACACGATTGGCACAACAAAGGGAAACAAGAAGCAGTGTGGAATGGAGAAGAGAATGGTTTGAGCAAGACGTGCTTGCTTTGCTAGTAATGAAACTGGAAGCCAAGGTGAGTATTGACTTTCTGGGAGCGAAGTGGATGAGCTCGCGTTGTGGGAACCAATCATAACTATCCAATCTTGAACAGCTCAGCACTGGGCATTTTTTGGGGCTGATGTATAATAGGACAACCATCTTCATTTCTTAATGAGGCACAAGCAGAGTGCCAGACGACACAAGCAACCATAATATTGCAACTAGATCATTATATTAGGTATTTGTGTCAGTGCATCCAATGCAGTTTTTCAAAAGTGACGTTCCCAAATGGTACGAATTTTCCCGAATACAAGGAGTTGCAGGAATGCAAATTAAAGAATTACCTCCACTGACTAGACATACCTACTGCGCAACTACAGCATATACTTATCTCAAGTGCCTGCCGCCCAGGGAGGCCAGAATAATGGTGTTCTTGGATTAGTTGAATCTTCAATGTATCACATACTTATCACCGAAGCAAGTGGTTATTTTCTTATTCTTTTTTAATGACCTCCAATTACGATTGAGTACAGGATTGATCTCAGAACAAACATAGTCGGCTGACAGAGAATTATCTCTTGTTCATATAGTCTGATGCAATTTTGTGGTTACACATTCCTCAGTTCTTAGAATTAAATATAGAATTTTAATCTGTTGACAGATCAAATAAACATTGAAACAGTTAGCAATAGCCCTGATGAGATCAGAAAGCAATAGTCCTCATGAGATCAGACAGCCATACTCAGAGCCAAGAATGTACAAGGTGGTTTGAATTAACGATGCAGGTTTTAATTAGTCAAATAGCTAAACAGAGGCACTGGCAGACATATGGGACAATGTGCACTTCAGTTACAAAACGTCCACTTGCAGGTAGGAAAACATTATATGTCAGTACATCCAGAACATTGCAAGTGGAGCATTATTTTGTGTATTTATGTCAGTATACATCCAACGTAGTTTTCAAAAGTGACATTCCATTGGCGGTGACCTTACCAAATGGTACGAAATTTCTTTCCAATTTCAAAAGGACCTAGGAATAGAAATTAAACAATTACCTCCACTTACTAGACGTGTGATAGCACACCTGCCGGGCAACAGCAACATATACTTATCTCGAGTAGCTGCCGCCAATGGAGGACTGCAATATTGGTTTTTGTGGATTCACTAAATCTTGATTCTTGAATGCATCACCCCTGCTGAAGAGAGAAGACCCATAAGTAAGTGGTTATTTTTTTTTGTCCCTTTTTAATGACTCTTCTAATTATCGATCTCAGAAATGATCATGATGGTTATCTCTTGTTCATATGGACATATGTAATACTAAATATACTGATATCATAAATCACAACTTGACCATCTTCCGTTATTTCATGATGACAGAGAGACGTCAAAGTTGACAAGTTCAATATGTTACGTTGCTGCAAGACAGTGAAACCCCACATAAGGGGCCATATGAAAATTTTCATATAATTTCAATGAGCTCAAGTTAAAATTCTATATTCAGCAGGGGTGACGCATCAAGAAAATATAGGACAGTTGCAGTAAGCACTAATGGGTGAGGTTATATGCAGCATCTTTTTAACTGAAACAGCACAGAAGGGGCCTACTAATACAGTAGTATATTAACAGGAGAGTTGCATACCTAGATTGCCAATTTACAAGATGAACTATGTGGGGCCTTTAGGACTCATTCCACCGGTAGTTGGTATGAATTTTCTTTCCAAATACTACAAAAAGTTGCAGGAATGCAAATTAAACAATTACCTCCAGTGACTAGATGTGTGATAGCACACCTACTGCGCAACTACAACATATATTCATCTCAAGTGCCTGCCGCCCACGGAGACCAGAACAATTGTATTCTGGGATGCATCACATACTTATCTCCAAAGCAAGTGGCCATTTTCTTGTCCTTTCGTTTGGAATGCTACCTCTAATTATGATTGAGTACAGGATTGATCCCAGAAGGATCATAGTCTGCTGGCAGAGGATTATCTATTGTTCATATAGGCGGATGCAATTTGTGTTTAGTACACTCATCCGTTTTTAGGATCAAACATAGAATTTTAATCTGTTGGCAGACCAAACAAATGTAGAAACGGTTAGCAGTAGCCACAATGAGATTACATGCAGCATCATTTTAATCAGAAAGAAATAGCCCTCATGAGATCAGCCAGCCATACACAGTGCCAAAATAAACAATCAAATGGCTACACCGAGACGCCTACTGCCATATGAGACAATGTGCGCTTCAATTACAAAGCAGCCACTTGCAGGTAGGAAAACAGTATACATCAGTACGTCCAGAATATTGCAAGTGGAGCACTATATTGTGTATTTTTGTCAGTACATCCAATGCAGTTTCTCAGAAGTGACGTTCCATTGGCGTGACCTTACCAAATGGT